CGGGCCGCCCCCGGCCGTCGCTCGGGGGACGTGTGGGCGCGCGGCAGAGATCTGGCAAGGGCCTGCTGCCGCCGCCGCCGCCGCGGTCCTGGAGCAGGGCTGGGCCTGACGCGGGAAGCGGGATTCGGAGCCGTCCTCAGCCTGAGAGTTGACTGTTTCCTCCTGGGCGCCTCGCGTTTGCCTGAGTTAGCCCGCGGGTTGGAAAGAGCGGCCTTCAAAGCTAAGAGCTCCCATAGCATAAACGGAAAACGGATCTCGGGACGCTGAGCCTTGGGAGCGGGACTCCAGTTCCGTCCCTGCCGTCCCTGACACGACCCTGACGTGAATTAATGTAAGCCCTTCTGAGAGGATGGCGAGGAGAGGGAAAAGGGCGGGGATCTCCCGTTCGGGCCAAGGGGAATAAATGTCTTTGCAGCACAGTTGTAGACTTGAGTCCATCAGATGTGGCGTCTGTGCCGTCCCACCAGATGCTTACTGGAAGCCCACAGGCTGAACATGAGGAGAATAGTGTTCAACCTGGTGCCCTCCGGCTGGGTCGTGCTTCTGTTTCCCTATTTGTTTTTTTAAATGTATAGGCTGCCCCCAGCTGTCATTACCCTGGGTGGCTTACAAAATGCACAGTAAAAATAGTTATATGTATTTGTATTTCAAATTTAGTCATGCCCATCTCACTCAGAGAGTGACTCTGGGCAGTTTACAATAAAACCACAATAAATACAGATTAAAATACAATAAAACATGCAATAAAATACAACAATATACAATATTATAATGAAATACAATAAAGAAATACAATAAAACACACACACACACACACACACACAAACCATCCAAATGTCCAGGGAAAAAACAAAACACCATGATACCCTGGTTCCCTGTCAGCATCTCAGGGGTGCAAAGCTGCAACTCCCCCTTCGCGTGCTATTGACTCTGAAGATGGAGATCCTGAAATCAGTAGGGTGACACAGTTCTGAGTTGATCAGCAGTGTTGTCCCATGAATGCATCCAGTCCCCTTTTAAATCTTGTCCCTACTAAATCTTGTGGCACTGACTCCCGTAAGTTCATTACTCATCCTAGGAGAGAGCTGCTTGCTTCTTTACTCCGCAGTTACAGAATACTTAGCTAATACTGTATCTAAGCGTTGGAAACATTCCTCGCAGCTGGCCTTGTGGGAGGACGGAACAGGCCAGTTAAGAAAAGGAACAAATGCTGGTATTACCTTGACTAGTCCCAGCCCCCAAACCCAAGGTGTTCTCTCTCGTAAGCTTTGCTCATGGACAAAAATGCTTATGTTGAACAGGGCTGTGATGTACAAGCTGGTTTGCTGGATTGGTACTGAGTCTGTTATTAATACATTTTAATACTGATTTTTTGACAGTTTTGTTTCATTGTATTGTGAGATGTTCTGAGCACCACTTGTTGATAGAAAGACAAGAAATAAAGAAAGAAATGAATTACCTCCCACTGTCTTGTTGTTGAAGGCCAGTTGGTGGTGAATCTCCTTTTGGGGGGGGTTGGGTAGGGGAGTAAACTAGCTGGAGCAGGCCTTGGGTTGCATTGGTGGAGCTGCCCACCTCATCCGTTTTCTCTCTGCTGAGTGGCGGTTGTGTTTTTAACATGGGGCATTACTCGTTGAACCTCTGCCCTGTGCTCCTTACCCATTCATTGTTTTTTTCCGAAATGTATGCTGGGATGATAGTCTGGCTCCCTCCGTGGCCGTTTCTTTGTAGCTCAAGATCCCAATATGGCTGCAAGTGCCAAAAGAAGCCTTGTGCCTTTTTTCTCTCTCCATTCGTGCAGAACAGAATTTGTGAAAAATGCCTTGAGTGGGCCAATTTCGGTCCTGCAGTTTATGCAAGAGCTGTTGGAGGGTGCATTCCTTGACAGGCTTCAGCTTTTGGTACAGAAATGAAAAATGTTCTCCATGTAGAACAAGCAAGCAAGGTTTGCTCAGGGACAGAATGAAATCACCTCCCTCAGAAGGATCAGATTTCATTACCCCCCTCCCTTCTAGTTCATTTCTCCTTTTTTCCTGATTTATGCAGGGACTTTCAGAAAGTGCAGCAAAAATAAATTGACTGAAGAATGGTCCCTGTGGTCAGAGACTCCATGCTGTGATGAAAGATGCCCTCCAGTTCCTGGAAAACTCTCCCAGCAAACGCATATTGGCGATACTGCCCAGGTAAGGGGAGGGCTTTTTGCTGCAGGCCTCAGGCGTTTCCTCTCCTTGCTGTTGGCCTGCAGGGGGTGAGCAGTCCAAATGCTATTGGACTGACCTTTCCTTGTTCCCCTCTTGAGCTCAGCCAAGTGACACTGACCAGTCCTGCAGCGGAGATGGTCCTGCTGGGGAAAGTGGGTGAATATCACCTGCAGTGATCCTGCAGCTTTCAAACAGGAACCAGAAGTGAGCTCTGAGCCCCAGTCTAATAGCAGCTGTTTGATTACAGGTGCTGCATATCCTCTTTCTTGGTCTTATAACGCTGTAGGTTTGAGCTGTATCTGTCTTGTAGAGGGTGGATTAAAGACTCTTTCTCACAGGTGAATACCTGCTTTATACACTGAATTATCTAGGTTTCCTCTCTCCACGCAGAGCTGGGAAAAATTTGTCTGAGCCCTTGTGACCTGCAAGGGTAGACAGGGATGAGCTTGAGTGGCTGGAGGCAGCTTGTAGTCTTACTAAGCTGGGTGTTGTAGTTCCTAGGTCAGGTTTGTCTGAGCAGAAAAATGTTGACGTGCCAGGTTTTTCCTAGCAGGTAACATTTGAGCTGGTCCTGATCCACGTCTTCCTCAAGGAGCTAAGAGAGAATCCGCAAGGGGTTTGTGGATGTTGTGATGGAGAACTACGAGCTGGTCACTTCACTGGGTAAGATCCTGCCTTTGGGGTTTGGATGCGGCAGTTCCTGGGGGAAAGTAGGTGCAGAGGTGCGGGTATGGAATGTTTTTTGGGCTTCTGTGCAGTGAATTGGAGCCAGTGGCTAACCCTGGCCATTCTCAAGGGATTGGTCTTCCTCGGGAATGGAAGAATGTGGCAGGTTTCAGTGAAGAGCTTCAGATGCTGGGCTCAGAGGGCGAGTGTTCTCTGCTAAACTGGCACTGCCAAATACACCCTGGGTGTTCTAGGTTTACCCCTGGGACAGCAGAGGCCCACCGCATTCTGCAACAGCCTGCAAAAGAATCTAGGAGTTGCTTCAGTGTGGCTGTCCCGCCAAAGGGCAGAAGTGGCTTTGGGGCGGGATTACCTACCAGAATGAGGGCTGCTGCCTTTGAGAGTTGGGGCGGAGGGGGACGGGGCAGCTGGACAGGGAAGTGCCTCTCCTCCTAAGATAAAGTGAAGAGGGTTCTTCCTTTGGCCAGCTGCCAGACTGCTGGGAGAAGCAGCATGTTTTTCTTGCCTGCC